AATTCATCTAATTGTGAATTGGACAGGGATGAGGAAATCGGTAGAGGGTCGGTCTATTTGCGAAAATAAGTAAAGAATGGAGAATAAAATCTTTTCGTTTAAGGCTTCGTTTTCATGAAAATTGTTGTTTAAATAAGTACGTAATGAACGACGAAGTGATGAAGTAAAATTTAATAACAAAGTGCTTGATCAATTTTCGAATTAAATTTTCTTGAAAATGGAGCATCTTGTTGAAAAGATTGGATGAAGTTGTAGAAAAAGCTGTTTCCTCTTCGACTTCGATGATCTTTGAATATGTTGTAGAAATCAACATTTTAAGTAATCAACTTTCTCTTGTAACCGACGATCGGACCTAGTTTTTCAGATATTCGGAGAAAATTGCTGGTATAATATACTAAATATACTAAATTCTGCTCATACGTGCGCATCTGTGCATATCAGCCATCGTTCTCTTCATCTTTGTATTATATCTTACGAATCGTACAAATGATTTCATTTGTTTGTGACGTTTGTCCGTTATAAAATAGAGAGTGACGTTGTTTACTGAATTTGTTTTATATTTATTTCATGCAATAATTATTTCACGCAAGCGTCGCCGACTGCTTCACCATGGAAATAAGCCAGATTAGCCTAAATCTAACCTAATACATTGATGATATTCACCGTTAATTGAATTATAACAAAGACTTATAATCTCTCGCGTATGCAGTTGTGTATGCAGTTTAGCCAAAGCGTATCGTTTATATACACAAAAGATAAGAATTAGATTTGAATTAAATGGCTAGCAATATTAACACGTACGTTGCTATGGACGCATAATTGAGCGCTACCAACTTTTTTAGAAATTAAAACTGATCAGCCAATTATATGTAAAAAAAAGAAAAAGTTATTCGAAATTTTATTATGTTAATATTTACAACATATCGAAAGATGCATCGAAATTGCAGAGGAAAATAATTTTTCTATAATTTCACCGAGAATTGCATTTTACACTTTTGATTTATTCTGACTAATTTAGAATTAGCTAATATTGTTAATAAATTTTAAACTTGATCTTTTTGGAAACGAAATCTTCAATGAAGAAACATTGTTCTTTCTTTTCGACTAATTTTTTTTCGTGTAAAATCATTTCCTCGGTTGTACGTCTGATTCTAAGATTAGGATGCTTAAATACCAATATGATTTTGATTGAATAATGAAACCGATGTGATACTGAAACGATTCGTTACGAATTATAGTACCGAAAATAAACACCAGTACTATTTCGATATTTCTATAACAATGATAGCTAATTAAGACACTTTCTATATAATTGAAAATAATAATGCATGTACATACACAATAATAATAAATTCATGTTTTAATTCACATTTTCTCTTTGTGATGTGATATCTCTGTATACGTGATATCGTGTTTGCTGATTTCACTCCTTGGAAATTTCTCCAGATTTATATGAAGACGACCATTGAGGATACGAAACGAAACGAAAGATTCTAAATTCATCGTGACGTGAGAAAGTTGATTGCTATTGTCAGAAATATGAAAAAGTATTTCTCTTCAAAAATAGTTGTTTCTACGCGAGTATGTCATAAGCCAAGCTATAAGGAACATATCCGTATATAAATTTCAAAAATTGTCTTCTATTGCTTTTTTGTTATGTGACTCGCTTGATTTTCTGCTGACGAGATTCCACGTTTCGAAAACGATTTCGAAAACTGTTTTATTTATTTACATTGTACTTGTCATTTATTCATATTGCACTCCATTTCCACTTTCGCCGCATTCGAAATGTTTGAAATATTCTATCATTTGCACAGTTGCGGCAACATTGATGATCGCAGCATTAAATTCATCTTTGCTCACAATTTATAAGCATTGCACAAATTATCTCCAATTAAACGAGGTCATTAGATATAAGAAATTTGAAAAAGATCTTATTGAGTGAATAAAAATAAGAAAAATGTTGATAATTATATTATATTGGTATAACTTTGCAAATATAATATAATAGAGATTATGATATAGTACGTGCAAAATCCATATAACCGGAAGATACCGGTATAGCATTAGTATTATTATGCATTTTGGTATAAGTTTCTAACTGAAACACTATTACCTATTGTCGCGAGCTGAAAGTAATTGAGACGGTAAAAAGAAGACAATGGAGATAGTTCCCTCGTCGACATGCTGTGTGGCACTTTCGATCACTAGTTGTCCTTATATTTAATTTTATACTGAACCTATTCAAAACCTGTATGAGAGTTTTTTTCAGCGACAGTATCTGTCTATCTGAATATCTATCTGTACTCATCCGATGCATGTATTGTACTTATCAAAATTTTCATCCGAGAAGTCTGCTTTTAACAGCACAAGATCATCGACTAGAATCATTTTGCGTTTCTTTTTTACCGGCAAAGTTAGTGTATAAAAAAATAATCCGTAAATCGAACCGAGTGCAAATGATCGAAGCAAAATAAAAGTAGTACTATATTCCGTCCGTGTTTTATGTTTCATCCAACCATCTGTGTTTGATGATTTTTGCGAATGCTAAATCAGGGAACGATTCATTTTGTTTGCAGGTATCGGAGTGTTCAAAATCCGAAGGGCCATCATTGTCCACTTCGCCGGGATCGGACTTTCTGACGTCGCCGGCTCATCGTTCGGTACCCCTCACTTCCCGACATTTCTCAAGAACGTCCTCGAGGGCATCTCAGAACTCGTTGCAGAGCCCAAGCAAGAGTACCGGCTCGTCTCCGCCGAAAACCGGCAGTTCTAACTCCTTGAATAAATTCCACAATCGATTAGTGGACAAGCTGAAAAGGTCGATAAAGAAGGCCGATGATACCGCGGAAGATCAACGAAATTTGTCGTGAAACAGTCAAGGGGTTTTGGGCCGGCCACCGATTCCCGGCTCGAAACCGATCGAGATCCGACGTACTTCTGCACCCATTACCACGTCCGCGACGATCTACGAGGGGGTGGCACGATCCTGTCCGGATTCGTCGCCTTCGGCGTGGTAAAGCAAAATAAACAACAATAAAGATGACAACGATAGCAACAGGATCGGACGAATGAGATGAGAATCGTTTCCCGCGATTTGTTTGCTGATGACGAGGATAATGATCGATTGCTGCATCTAACTATGCTTGGAGACATAACGCTAACACAAAGCGGAGCGAAAGAAGTTGCGCGGCTTTTTACTAAAATATAATATCAAGGACCGAGGACAGTGTCCTTTGAAAGAAAAATCGAACTAAGGAATGAACAGAGCACGACCCTAGAATTGAAGATGATCGCAATCAATGGCTGACATTCTACCAGCTAAATCTCCGTATCTTTGTAGGTTACAACGCTCTCTTTTACGTTTCCTCTGCAATCCGACAGTGAAGATATCGCGAGATATACATAATTATTTCGATCCCTTACATTTTCTCATTGGATTGGAAATACTGAGAAACGGGTTACGACCGCCGCGAGGTTACATTTCTATTCCTCTTTACAAAATACGCATTGATTTCATGAAGTATCGGAATTATTCGCGAGGATCGACATGTGCTCCTCCTCACTGTGACTGACTGTTTAGAATGACGAATAAAACGAAACAGAGAAAGAAAAAGAAGCAGATTGAGCGAGGTAGAGAGAGAGAGAGAGGGAGGGAGGGAGGGAGGGAGGGAGGGAGAGGGAGAGGAGAATAAGATATGGAGAAGATAATAAAGCACTTGGCGAACGAATAGAACCGAGCCTTCGTCCTGTTTATGCGGAAGCTTTTTTTAATAAGCATGCTGAGAGCAAAAAGGATAAGCCAGCGGGAACGAGCAGCAAGAAGGATCCAGCGAAAGAGGTACATAATCACAATGGAATTCGTCGTTATCGACGTTGGCGCGTACGTCGGACTGCGTTTATTTCGCATTCTTTTCGCGTTCATTTCGTACGCAAGGTTTACGGCCAGTCGGTGATCGGTGTAGAATCCGGGATCGGTCCAGACCTAAAACCTAGTTCCTTTATTGCGCGCATAAAATCTCTGAAACAAGCACTTAAACATTACACAAAACCTTCGTTTCTTATTATTTTAAAATTTTTTAACATTTGATTGCTAAATTAATCAAAATTGTTCGCACTCTATTCCTTTTTTCTATATATATATATTTCTTTCTCTCTCTCTCCTCCCCCCCATTTTTTTCTCTTAAAGACGTAGCGCAACAAGTTCCATTTCGTTTGAGTTTCTTCGTAGTTAAACGTTACTTATATAAGATTCTTATCTTCCTTTTATATCCTTCGTTTAATGTTTGGCCAATCAAATTGTAACTGTGGTAAATATGTTTTTAAAATATTAGGACAAGCAGAAAAATGGAGCGACTAAGCGAGGCGTAAACTCGTGTCGAAGTCAAAGGAGTTCCTGTAAAGGTTCTCGCATACGACAACCGGGAACGCTTGTATTCATCGTTTAAGATTACTCGCTGTCTCCAAAGGGAATATACATGCGTATGCGCAAAAGAAAAAAAAAAAAAAAAAAAAAAAAAAGAACTGCGAAGGGGTATACATGCCAAGGCGTAAAATGCGCATTACGTATACGTATAATATATAGGTGAGCTAGTAAAAGAACGGAGCCTAAGAAAAGACTTACTTATTTCAATCGTAATATTCTTCGAGCGACCTGTACTTATACGCGTAAATATTTATTTGAAGTTTTCGTTGAACTTTGTCTCGTGTAAAATTAAAAGAACGCGCGAGCAAATATTTTGTCTTTGAAACGATACTCTTTTTTTTTTTTCTTTCTTTCTTTCACTTTTCATCGCCTTTTTTATGCTCTCGCTGTGAAAATTGCTCGTTTCCGAATATTTCCCTCGAATTAATTCATATTCCTTACGGTATCGTTTCGAAATAAATTTATTTGCAATGGATACGAGACGTTTCTCTCCTAGATTGTATCGCGAAAGGAATATATATATATATTTTTTTTTTGTTCAAACAATCCTCGTAGTTTGTATCGAAGTGTATTGTAGCGGTTTCCCTCTATCCTGCGCCGAGATACTAGATTCTGCTGTTTCGATTAATCGTTACGAAGCGTTTTTGTTAAATTTTTTTATAGTATGTATGATAATTAGTTCCGTCGAGATAAGCAATCTGTTAATCTATTATACGTTGAGTAATCTTTTTGACAAATAACCCTGATAGAAAAACGAAAATTGTCCTCGGCAACTGGACGCAGAACGACGTCTTTCGAAGACATCGAAAACAAAATCATAGAGAGCAGCTTACGTGCAGTTCTCTACAAAGTAAAACATTAACGTTTCTCTGTCCTTTCCTCTTCTTCCTTCTCTTTTGTTAAATATTTTTACACGCGACAAAAAAAGCTATTCAAAGCCAAGGAAAAGTATGGATTCGATCGTCCTACTTTTCCCAAGGATAGAATTTTGTCGATGATACAATTCGATTGATTATACAGCAAAGTATCGATTCGTTTTAATTCAAACAGTATTAAATGCGCATAAGATAGTAGCTCGTACTTTTAAAGAAAGTGTAGCACAGTGACATCGTCTGCGTCCATTCGTTACCGCAGTTTTTTTCAATTCTCTCGAATAAGACGATTACGCGCTTTCCTTATCGTTCTGCGAAATTTCGAAGTGGGAGCAATTATACGATACCGCGTGTAACTCTGTGATACCGTAAGCTATAAGGTAGAATTATTTTGCAACGATCATATATATATATATATA